TGCAAACCAAATGACGTGCCATCCATAGAAAATAAGCATGTTAATGAATGTTTAAGTAATAATTCAATCATCAATAACCACATCATTTGGCTTGTAAATTTAATTAAAAATTTTTGATCTCTCTAATATTATCCTTAAAATAATCGTTTTTGGATTGTGTGAGGGTTCTTCAACAAGGCGACATGATGTTTAGGGTTTATCTCAACTGCGGATGTTTTTCATCCGACCGACTAAAATAGTCAATCTAAAGACTTGCACTAACATGATCTGTAGGTGAGTGACTTCAGATTCTTTTATTTAATTTCTTTATTTTCTGATTTGTGTCATTTACTAAGCTATCCCTAATCTATTTGACCTTTTTTGCGGGATTTTTTTTTATAGAAGGGCATCTTAGGTGTTTCAGGATGTTTCACAAAATCTTGCTGCTCACGTTATACATGGAAATTTTGAAAGATAGACAAAAACCATTGGTCCTTTACATTTGGTCACATGTAAATCATTTGTTGGTAAATTTGTTCACAGTAGATTGAGTGCTGTGGGTAAGAGTAGCTTAAGTTCATTGACATATTCCAAATAACATCACGGCGTTTGAAGGTGACAATGGAGAATTTTCCTCTTGGAAACAAGCATGTTTTTAAAGACAAATTTTTCAATTGACGCCATTAGTGTTATGTTAGATTAGATTCTCTTATCTCAATCTCATCCGTTGAAACAAACAAACCCCAATTTCGCCCTCCAAAATTATTTGATTTTCACATATAACACAAATTTACCTAGGACCAATTGGTAAATTAGGATCATACAATTTTGAAAAAAAATTATTTGAAAATTTCACCCACCAATGCCCATGAACGTTAAATCAATTTGAAAATTTAATTCTTACGGAATTTAAAAGAATTATTACTTACCTAAATTGCAAGAAAAATAAGTAAGAAAAAAGAATTAAAAAATAATAATAAAAGAAGAGTATAAGTGTATTCGCAAGTGGAGGAAGAGTGATAGAATTTTGCTCACATGAGTTGCTACTTTTTTTGTGGGATCCACTGTTTTTTGGGGCTGGATGTAGCCCGATTTTAGTTACTAACCTCAGTGGTGGATCTAGCCCTGTTTTCTATCTCATTGGGGATGAAATTTCTCGCTAAGACTTGAAATGTAGTAGCCTCATGGAGAATAGAGTCCTCATTGAGGATGCTCTTAGATCCCTTCCCGTTGTTACCTATCCCGCTTTCTTATGTGACTAGAGCGGTATTGATTGCATTCAGGACTTCTCTCTTTTAACTCTTAATTTGAGTAAAATACGGAGGAAAAAAAAAATGAGTAACTTATTTATTTATTTTGAAAAACGGGTTACTTTATTACTAAAACACAACAAAATTACATAACAGAGACCCAAATACATAAACCACAGAAGCAAAAGAAGGACCTCCATTGTAACCGGAGACCTCTAATGTAACTTGAAAAAGGAAAATTCAATTTTCCAGACAACAAACTAAATAGATATGACGATGGGCTATAGCAAGTAGCCTCCAATGGCCCCATCTAGGAAATCAGTTGTTTATCGTCCCAGTCCTACCCCTTGGGGCCAGGTTAGCGATTCGGTCTTTCCCTAATATCAATCAATTTTCTCAACTTCGTTTAAACAAATGAAAACGTAACAATACGACCCTTATGATTAAATAATTTATCAGATAGCACATTTCATCAATAACAATTATAAAGGAGTAATGATATACTTGTCATATTTTTTTATACCTTATTGGTACTATTTTTCTAAGACCAACTCCAATAATTGAGGTTAAAATCTTAATTTTAGCTCAAAAAATTCAGGACTTGTTTAGTATTTTATCCAAAAACTTTGATTGTTCCTAAAAAATTTTTCAAAAGACATCCCTTAAGATCAATTTTCCTTTTAAATCTCAAAATTAAAAAATCTACGTGGTTAAATTTAAAAAAAAAAGAAGTTTTTCTTAATTTAAATTCAAACTACCTTATAGAAATTGGAGGAGAGACACAAGTGGGAAAGAGAGAAGAAAGGAAACGGTTGGCAAGCAAAGAGAAAGATAGGAAGTACGCGAGGAGGTGAGGGGAGGGAAGAAAGAGAGGGTGATGAGAGAGCATAAAAATAGGGGTGTGATATCCACACATCCCTTTTTACTTCTCAAACAAATTTTTAATTTTTGACTGTTGGATCGGTTAAATTGAAGAAGATTAATTGACAAAAATTAGCAAAGGGTGTGTGAGAAATAAAAATGAGTGTGTGTATATCACACCCCAAAATACGGTAGAGAGAGATAAGACAGAGGGTGAGGAGAGAGATTAGACAAAGGGTGATGATGTGAGGAGAGAGATAAGACAACGAGGGTTAGGAGAGAGAAAGAGCAAGAAAAAAATGTTGAGGAGAGGGAGCAGAAAAAGACATAAAAACTCTAAAAGCTCACTTTTAATGTTTTTAAATTTGTTTTGAATACAATTTTTAAAAGGAGTCATTCTAAACAAAAATTCAAAGTCTAAAACTCAAAATGTGTTTTTGAATTTAAAAAGTTGAACTCAAGTAGGATACCAAATATGCCCTTAGGTTTTAACTTATAAACAGTTTTTCTCTTCCAATGGTTTTGGCTTAAAGATTTAACATAAAATTATTAAAAAATGATTTTAGCCTTTTTTTTTTTTGGGTAACTTCTTTAAAAATAAAATTTTTGTAGATTATCCTAATTTATTTTTATGAATATTTTAAAAACAAATACATAGATGGGTAGGAAAAAAAAAGTAAGAATTGTTTGATGAAAAAGTGAATTTTGTATGTATGTTTGAACAAATACATATGTATTTATAGAGTTTTTAGGTGAATTTTGATCGAACAATTGTTTTAATTGTTTTAGCCTTTGGATTTAACTTTTGGTTGTTGAATTTTTTTTTCTTTTACCATTAGATTTGCTCATATTCGATCTCAACAACTTTCAACCACGTGGGTCATTCGATAAAAAAAATAATCTTTGGTCTTTCCACAATTGGACGACAGAGTCGGCAACTAGGTCTCAGCACTTGGTCCAGACACTAATCTTACCTCATTTTTTAGCTAAATTTAGCCCAAAATTTTTTTATCCAAAACATTTTTTTAGCTCAATTATTGAAGAAGCTTTAGGCGAGTTTAACACTTGAATTTTGAGTTTTAACCCAACCATGGGAATTGATATAATAGATATAGGGATCATCAACACATGTGGATCTTATCTTTATTAGAAAAATGATACAAGTATGATATAAAAAATGTGATAAAAATAATATTTTTGTTTATAAAGTGCCCGTAGTTGTTGGTAAGATTCTTAATTACCAAAAAATGAGTGATGTTATGAGAATCACATTTCACATCTAACTCGTCTATCAAAAAGAGATGGGGCCCACAGAATAAATGATTTAGTATTAATCAACAGTGAAAAAAAAGAAGAAAAAAGAAGCTTGGTTTAGTATTCGTCGATCGTAAATTAGAGCATTTTTAATAGAAGATACAAAATATTTTAGAGATTTTTTAGTTAAAATGGTTTATGAGATTTGCTTAATTTGGTTTAGTATTCGTCAACTGTAAATTAGAGCGTCTTCAATGGAAGATACAAAATATTTTAGAGGCTTTTTAGCCAAAATGGTCCATGAAATTTGCTTAACTCCTTATTTTGGTTCCTAAGATTTGAAATCAATATAACTGGTCCCTGAGATTGTCCATCATCAATCATTTTGGTCCTTCCATGAATAGTTATGTTAAATAAAAATTTAAATAACAAAACTACCCTCATTTTGGTAAACAATAGGCCAAAATGATTTGACAAAAATTGAGGGTATTTTGTCATTTTATTCTTATTTAATGGAGATTTTTCATCAAAGAACCAAAATGATTGATGGTGGACAAACTTAATGACCAATACTATCGATTTCAAATCTCATGAACTAAAGTGAGGAGTTATGCAAATCTCAGAAACCATTTTAGCTAAAAAACCTACTTTAAATATGCATTTTACATTTCTCATTGGTTGGACAGTTCTAACAAAAAGGATATAAGTAAATGGTAGCTTATCCACGAACCCAATTTTTTTTTTTTACACACCTCTCTAAATTTTTGGTTATCCGATCAAATAAATTGATGAAGATTAGTGGATAAAAATTAACATGGTGTATGAAATGTAAAAAGAGAAGGGTAAATAACATTATCCTAATTAAATAAAAATATAAAAGAAAAAAAAGAAAGAAAAGAAAAGTAAACGAAATTTCAAATCACATCTTTGATTTTTACATCTTCCAAATATATAAAATGAATTATAAATTATATTTTAAATTTAGGGGTGTGATATCCACACACCTAATTTTATTTCTCACACACCTTTTTAATTTTTAGTCGTTTGATTAAATGAATTGAAGAAAATTAACGGACATAAATTATCAAGAAGAGTATGAGAAGTAAAATAAGGTGTATGGATAGCACATCCCTAAATTTATGTCTCTTCGTTGGAAAGCTCCAACATCTTTTACTCATGTTAATTGAAAAAAAAAAAAATTCCTTGTATTAATATGATGTTTTCAACTTGAGAGATTTTTAGTAGGCTCGGAACACCACATAATGTTACACAATTGAATGGAGACTTAAAAAAAATTCCGATTGTATAATGACATATAGTGTTTTACCTGATGTTCCGAACATATTGAAAAAAACTCTCTTTGAACTGATTTAAATAGTTGATTATCTTGTCCACAAGTGTTTTTGTTGGGAAAATTGTTTAATGTGCCCAAATACTATTTTATACATCAAGTATCATGATATCGGTGATAATTTTTGTTTGTTGGGGAAATCTTTGATGTATCTCGTCCTCTTTCACTGAAAAATATCTGTTGTTGGGCCAAAAGTCATCGCAACATGGTCCACTTGTCAAACACCGAGTATACACTTATTGTCCTTTTCTGTAATCTGAATGTATATATATATGTTATATAACGAACCCCAACCGCAACACCAAAACCACTTCCTCGCTTCCTCTCTCTCTCTCTCTCTCTCATTGTCAGTTACGTTAAACTCGCAATGGAGCAGCTCAAACCAAACCCTGCAAATCTCTGCCCTCTCACTCCTCTCACCCTGCTAGAAAGGGCAGCCATCGTCTACGGCAATTGCCCCTCCATCGTCTACACCACCACCACCTACACGTGGTCCCAAACACACCGCCGATGCCTCCAGCTGGCCTCCTCCCTCTCATCCTACCTCGGCATCAAAAAATCCCAAGTCGTCTCTGTATTCTCCCCCAACACCCTTGCCATGTACGAGCTCCACTTCGCCGTCCCCATGGCAGGAGCCATCCTCAACACCATCAACACCCGCCTCGACGCCCGCACCGTCTCCGTCATCCTCCGCCACAGCGAATCAAAACTCATCTTCGTCGACCACCTCTTTGCCTCTCTCGTACTGGAAGCCCTCTCGCTCTTCCCACCTCAGCTCCCTCGTCCCCAACTCGTCCTCATCACTGATCATCCAAGGGACGGATCAATCCCAACCGTCGATCATTTCATCGACACTTACGAGAGTCTAGTGGGAAAGGGGGATCCGCTGTTTAAGTGGGTCCGGCCGGTTTCCGAGTGGGACCCAATCGTTTTAAACTACACGTCCGGAACGACGTCGGCTCCGAAGGGGGTTGTGCATTGCCACAGAGCCGTTTACAACGTGGCCCTGAGTTCCCTCACGGACTGGTCCGTGCCCAAAAACTGCGTCTACCTGTGGACTCTACCGATGTTCCACGCAAACGGGTGGTGCTTCCCGTGGGCCATGGCCGCCGTCGGCGGGACCAACATTTGCGTCCGCAAATTCGATGGCCCAAAAATCTACGAGTTAATCGAAGCTAACGGCGTCACCCACATGTGCGCCGCGCCCGTCGTGCTCAACATGCTCATCAACACCCGGAGGTCCGACCCGCTCCGAAATCCAGTTAACATTCTTACCGGTGGGGCTCCGCCGCCTTCGAGCGTCTTGCTCAAGGCCGAGTCGATCGGGTTCGTAGTGGGTCACGGGTACGGGATGACCGAGACAGCGGGGGTTGTGCTGTCATGCGCATGGAAGCCGGAGTGGAACAAACTCCCGGCGATGGAGCAGGCGAGGCTGAAAGCGAGGCAGGGGGTGATGACGATCGGCATGACGGAGGCGGATGTGGTGAATCCGGATTCGGGTTTGAGTGTGAATCGGGACGGGTCGGAAATCGGGGAGATAGTTTTGAGAGGCGGGTGCCTGATGCTCGGGTATCTGAAGGATGCAGCGGGAACTGCCAGCTGTATGAAAGACGGCTGGTTTTATACAGGTGACGTGGGGGTGATGCATCCGGATGGCTATTTGGAAATCAAGGACAGATCCAAGGACGTTATTATAAGCGGGGGTGAGAACATGAGCAGCATAGAGGTCGAGTCCGTGCTGTATGGGAACCCAGCTGTCAACGAGGCGGCGGTCGTGGCAAGGCCCGACGAGTTTTGGGGGGAGACGCCGTGCGCATTCGTGAGCTTCAAGAGTGGCGTCAGCCCAAAGCCAACGGAGAAGGAGATCATTGAGTATTGCAAGGGGAAGCTGCCGAGCTTCATGGTGCCAAAGACGGTAGTGATTAAGGACGAGCTTCCCAAGACTTCCACCGGGAAGATTCAGAAGTTTTTGCTGAGGGAGATTGCCAGAGGTATTGCGCTGTCTTCGTTATTTCCGCCGCTGGCGGCAGTGGCGGCGTCGCGGACGACAAATAGGATGTAAGGGAAACCTCGGACGAGTTTCGTATTTTGTTTTATAAAGTTGACTAAAATTAGCAAAGATTCTAAATTATGGTGGTTCAGGTGCATCGCATGATGACGTTGGACGTTGGAAGCATTTTGGTTTGCCGGATTTGAGATGGCGGGAAGTTTGGACTACGTACATGCTTATGATATTTGCTAGGAAAATTACGTGCATGCTTTTGGCGGCGGAAATGGTCATATCAGTTGTAGTTTGCCATCTCTGACTACGTAACCTTATACATATACATACATATGTATGTATATATAATTTTTGTTTTTTAATTTTATATCTGTTGTTAAAATAAATTTCAAGTACGAATCTCATTTTTTTAATAAATTTAAGGGTTCTTTAAATATTGATCCTCACAACTTATGTTTTCTAAACATAAACCCGCATATAATTAAACATCCAACAAAAACCCAAATGTCAAATAAATTGCCACTAAGAATAACCTACTATTACAAATTATTTACAATTTTTACCACAACCCCTTTATCCTTTTCTCACGCACTTGAATTTTAGCTTCAATCAAGGGCATTAAAATCTTATTAATCATCCTAATGTTTTTTAATAATTTTTTTAATCTCTATACAATCTAATGCATTACCTTAAGAGTTGGTTTGAGATTGTGGTGCTTTAAAAAAAAAGTAGCTTACTAAAAAATCTAGAACATTAAATGTGTTTGATAAAACAAAAAAAAAACTTAAAAAAAAATTGCTATCAATGAAAGTAGAAAAGCATAGAAAAGCAGAAGCATGGTCTATCATGTTTCTAAAAAAAGTGCTTTTTTTTTTCTTCAAAGCATAGTAATCAATGCTCATTTAATAACTTTTCAAATGACAAATATACCCTCATATGTTTTACAAAAGTACAACCTTTGCCCCTACATTACTGTCTTTGACAATTATTAGATCACAATAAATACTATATCATTTTTAGTCATTTAACATATTCAAAACAATATATAAAAGTTTACCAAACACTGCTTTTTTTTTTGTAATTTTTTTTTTATTAAAAGCACTTTTACAAAAAAAAAAATGTTTACCAAACACTTAACAACTTTATTTTACAACTATTTATTATCACAGCACAACAGAAATAGTTTTTTTTTTTTAAAGCACAACAATACCAAACCAACCCTAAATCTTGACTACATTATTTTTCAGGATAAATTATTCTCCTTATATATAATAGTAAAACGTCTCTACTAATTTATGTATATAAACAATATTGGTGTATATACAAAGAAATAATATTTCTTTTGGCAATTTACCTATGATAATTTCTTCTTTGAACATTTACCTATGATATATTCTAATAATATTCTCATATTTTGCTGGTAATTTACCTATAATATAATAGTAGGTACATTAAGAGAAAGGAGGTAAATTATGTACGTAATTACCAATTTACCTACATTTTGTATATTTTTATGTCCATTAATTTATATTATATTTAAGGTACAATAGTATACCTATATATTACATGGACACATTGTAATGGTAAATTGGAGTTCGAAGTGTGCCAAAACTTTAGGCTTTTCTCCTTTTTAAATTGGGTAAGAAAAGGAAAGATTGAACCAACAAATCCCTCAAAGTGTGCCAATTGAGAAATGATTATCAAGTTACCATTTAGCACTACGGTTTAGTTGTATTCTTCTTCACTTGTAAGTGAGAGGTCTTAGGTCAGATTGTTGCCAAAGGCGAGTTTGAACCATATTATTACCAGCCCATTGTAAGGCTAAGTCCACCCCTCCCCCAATGTAGATAATATCGTTTGTTTAAAAAAATGATTATGAAATTGATATTAATTGATCCAAACCAACAAGTCCCTACATATATATATGTGTGTGTGTGTAAATATTGATTTTGTAAAATCATTAATTCTCCCTTACAAAGTACAATCAGCATGGAATTAATTGTGTACATCAAACAAAAATAAGGGTTATTTTAGACATTTGAAAATTTTAAATATGTAAAGTCAAACATAATTCATGAATTACTTATGTGGAGTCTAGTCTATAAGTTTTATTGTAGTAAAAAACACTTATGTCGGTTTATGTAGGATATTATGTGGAAAATTTTGAGTTTTAGGGACAAAGTCATATTTTCAATAAATTTAAATATAATTTAAGTTTGATTATTGTTTGACATCTTGACTAGAAAAATAGAAAATCCGTCTCCCGGCATCGAACGTCGACGTTTGATGACCGGCGAGCAGTTTGAATATACCTGGGTTGGTAGTTGTAACTTGTACGAGTCGTCGTCAAGCATGACGGTCACGACTATTTCATTTGAAGTAGATTTCTTGTCGCAGTCACTTTGCACTGTCACTTCATTTCAATAATTTGTGAATTGAAATGTCAAACTTGAATTTAATAAAAGAAACGTATAAGACCGTATGAGAGATTTTGCTTCATGGCATGGGGATATTTTTTAACGGGATCAAAATTTTAAATTAAATTTGCAAATCAAATGATATGTTATAAGTAATGAATAAATACGCTGAACAACACTTATGCAATAATTTAATCATCAACATTTACATTATAAAGGTAATGCTAGGAAAAATAAATTTGCAAACTAAACGATGTGTCACTAATAGAATTGAGCACATTAATCAACGTTTAAGTAATAAATCAATCATCAGCTTTCATATCTGTTAGTTTCCAAAATTTAGGCTCCCTAACATTACCCTTAAAAAATTAGTCTCCTTATAGCATTATCTGTTAAAAAATATCCCCATGCCATGAACTAAATTCGTACACTAAATTTTATAAACTAAATGATATGAAAGTTGATGATTGAATTATTACTTACCTATTAATTAACGTGATTATTTCATATTGATGACACATAATTTAGTTTCTAAATTTGGTCTATAAAAGTAAGTGAGTGAAGGAAGTTGTCAACAAGATGAAACGTGAGATTCAACTCTTTGCTAATAAAGTACCAATTTATATATTTTATAAGTGGGTTGGTGGGTGTTAAGGTCAATTTGGTAACAAAGGTGGTGTTTTTAGAAAAGTTAAATTTTGTTATATATGGAGGAGAATAGTTTGAGAGAGAACACGAAAATTCTTTAGTGTTACAATGTGAGGTATAGCGACCTTTAGATTTTGTTTTTTATTTCTTGGTGTTCAACTTAGGTTTTGTTTTCTATTTTTTTATTTATCATTAATTGATTTAGGTGGGTGTAAAAAGAAGTTTAAAACATTGGGTAGGATTTTCATATGAGAGGGTAGTCAAAAAATAATTTTCAGTATACGGAGCTAATTATAGATAAATCAAACAGAATGTCTTTGTAGAGAGTAAGTTAAGCGTAGAAAATAAAGATATAAAACATTGTAACAAATAAAAGAATTTTCTTTTTTGGGGAGGAATTGTGTGAAAAAGAAACGCTTTTACAATAAGGAATTCATTAGGGCTATGTTTAAGTGAGGGATTTCCGAGTCACAATGAATTTGAGATCAAATTAATAAAGAACTAACTGCAAAATGTTAGATAGGGTGAATTAGAAATGTCATTCATGAGCATTGTAAATGCATGTAGATTGTAAATGTCATTTTTCAAGTAGTGATTTATAAATCGCTCTTACATGTTTTTGCAATGCTTTTTAATCCTCCTCTTCCAACAATTTGTAGCATATATATATTTTTTAATAGTTTAGCCTCGACCCTTGATACTTATAAATATCTCATCCAACACATAGCCTAAAAGTTTATAACTAATAGCACCGTTTTTTTTTTTTTTTTCTGTGTGTGAAAAAGGGAAATTTCATTTGTGTGTGAACTTATTATTTTTTTTTTTTTGGAAAAAAAAAATATTTGTTAAAAGGGAAACTTTTGTAACGGATAAGGGGCTAGATACAGGCTGTGGGTAGAAAAATCAAACCCCAACAGAGGTCGGTCTATGCAAGCAACATTAATATACAGGCGGCCCCTCAGAATTTGGTGCGTGCTCGGGAAATGCGACAAAAGAAGTAAATAGATTTGTTTTTCAAGCTAATAAGTACAAATTTGAGTCGTTTGACCCTTTTTCCTTTTTTTTTGGGAAAAAAAATAATATTTGTGTGTGAAAAAGGGGAAAATACAGGCTTTGGTTAGAAAAATCAAGAGAGTTTTAACGAAAAACTTCTAGTACTGTTCATTTTAACAAAAAATCATATTTTTATACTAAAAAATCAATTCTGGTACTATTCATTTTACCCTTTATTTTGTCCTTATCGTTAAAATTCAAAATTTTCAAACCATTTTTATTAGTTTTCTTAAAAATGAAACCCCAACAGAGGTTAGTCTATGCAAACAACATTAATACACAGGCCAGCCGTCAGAACTTGGGAGCAAATGAGGCCCTAGAATCAGTGGTGGAGCCAGGATTTCGGGTTAGGAGGGGCATCTCACAAATATTAAAAAAAAAAAAATCAATAGTAGTTACAAAATAGTTAACGAAAACATCATGGTATATATATGAAAAGTAACCAAAATTCAAAATAACATAGCATTGATGATATTACATATTCCCAATAATTAAAATAATTGTCCTCGGCGAGTTTTCACATTTTGAAACCGTTGCATAGTGTATATATGCTAATATTACAAACTAAAACAAATTAGGCAATAGTTAAGAGAAATTGCAAGACATCAATTTAATCATAATTTATAAACAAAAAATTGTAAGAGGAATTGAGAGTAAAATACATACTTTGGGTTGCTGACCAATTAACTAAACTTCAATGTCTTTTCTTTGATGGAATGATGGAATAATGGAATTCTTTAAACTGCAAAAAAAAAAAAAAAAATATATATATATATATATATATATACTTTTTTTTGTTAAATTAATTTACAATTGTAGATGACAACATATATGAATTAGCAAATTGCAAAAAACTTGAAAATAACAACTTTGGAGATTTGAAGTTCATACCTTTGAGGATCATGGAAATTGAAGACTGATAAAAAAACAATACACAGATATCTACCCTAATCCAGACTGCAATCGGCTAGAAACTTGGAGAATAATAAAATACTAATTTGTAGTACTGGGAAAGGGAATAGAAGTGTTGGAAGTTGGAATAGGTAGGCTTTAGGGTTAGACTAGAGTACATAAATATCCTTAAAATATTTAAAGAGGGCCGGATCTTTTGTCTAGCAAATTGGAATGGTTTAAGTGAAAGAGTCACGGACAAGTGATAAAAAAAATAAAAAAATAAGTAGTACTAATTTTTTTTTTTTATAAACAAAAGCAGTGTGGACCTAGGACTACTGCGGTCCTATGGTTCCTT